AATATGCAAAGTGTTCAGCCTATAAATATGAGTTCCCTGTTTTGCTCCAGAGTGGGAGTCAGTAAAGTATCCTATGTTTACAGTAATTCTGAAAAGAAAGTAAATGAAGGTTTTTTGTCTAACTTCCTGATAGTGCAATGGAAGCTTTAAAATTCAGTCTGTTCTTTAGGAATGTTTGCACAATCCAGTATAGATAGAACTGTTTTATACTACATTCTGATAATGAATAATACATTATTTTAACAAGCTTGTCAGGCTAGAAGGGAGGCTGAGCCATATTTTGAATAAATTAATTGCCTTCTAATTTTGAGCTTTGTGATTCATTACTTGAATGGGGTGATGTGTATATTATTATGTAGCAATCTAAACAGTTTGGGTGGAACATCTTTAATATAGCTGCATTTTTTCCATGTGGCTTATAAGCAGAGGTGGTTTCTCATTCAGCTAGGAGGTAGAAAATGTGTCTCAAATCTTTTCATGGAATTCGTACATAAATTTAAAAGTAGAAAGAACCTGTAGGAATTCATGATGATAGCAGTAATATTTTTGTTAACATTGTTTTTCTCAAAGGTTGGTTGCAACCTTGTACTTATCTGAGGATAACATGAAAATCAAACTTTTCTGTTTTGGGAATGGGGGGAATAGAAATGGTCAGTTCTCCAACTTCAAAACAATTGTGCTTGTGTTGTGAATTAAGGAGTGTTCATCAGATAGAAATGCGAAATCCTGACAGTACAGTTTAACTTACCTTTTCAAAATCTAGCTTGTGCTTTTTATAATAATTTTTCATCTATAACATCTTCTAAAGATAGTGTTCTTTCGTGGGAGACTAAACTAGGTTCTGTAAATAACCAGTGTCCTGAGGGCCTGCTTTTCCCTAGTCACTGTTAGACTATTACAGAGTTGACAGTAAGTTACTGGTGGGTTTTTGTTTGGTTTTTTTCCCTTTTTTCTTGGAATGTGTTTTCCATAATCCAGAAATGAAGTTGAAGATGGGGTTTTTCTTGAACTGATATGATAAATACATAGGTTTTTGTCAAGTAGGCTGAGAAGAGGCTCAAATGTGACAGCATTTTGGGAAAAGTGACTTTTGTTTTCCATTTAATTTCTGTACTTGTAGCAGGATGATGACCTGAAGTGGGTAGAGGAGAATGTTCCCTCGTCAGTGACAGATGTGTGAGTATTTTTATAGTCACAATAAAAGCAGATTCCTTGGACAAAGGAACGCAAATATATTAGAATGCCTTATAACTTGTGTGCTGTGCTTACATGAGCAGATACTGAGTTCAGCCTGGAATTGGCCTCTGACTTCTTAGCATGCTTCCACTTGGCTTTATGCACTGTCAGACTTATGGTTCATGCCACTTGACCGCATACTGACTTAAGGAACACAGTCTTGGACTGTGAAACTACAGACTGATTTGTCTGCACTTCAGTGAAGTTAAAACTAACTAACTAAATCCAGAAAACAAAGAACCAACCAACTCTCTCTTTCTGTTTAGTGCTCTGAAAAGTCCTTTAGGTATCTTGCTGAATGTAAATCACTGAATAATGTCATTTAGCTCTCAACTTTATTTGAATGTCCGAGTCATTTTTATGGTTCTGGCAATATAGTCAGCTATGTACGCAGTCCATATCTATTCTACTTTTAATAACTTTTACATCCTAAAAATGACAGTGTCTGTGTCTACATTTTTTCATAGCAAAACAGAAGTTGACAGATTAATTACGTTCACAAATCTGAACAGGTAATTTTGGCAGGGGCTCTGGATTTAAGTACAGAACTCCGCTTGAAGTTAGTTGAAGACAAGAAATAAAGTGAAGCTTCAAGAGGATGAAAAAGTGCATTTTCTGAATTGAATTTGTTTTTCCCAGTTCTAGTGCTTATTTTTTTTTTTGAAGAATGGTAGGATTCCTTCAGAAAGCAAGGACTAGACTGATATAAGCTAGGAAAGAGCACTTTGAGGTAGTCTGCTGCAGGGTTTTCTGTTCCTGAAAGTATGATCAGGGTTGTGAAGAGGTGAGATGCCAGTAGACTGTCAGTCCATTGTAGCTGAAAAGGCTACGGTACCAGAGTAACTTGTTTGATTTCTGGGATGTGTTTTTACAATATGGTCCCATACTGTAAATGTCTTCAGTGTAGTTCGGCGGTATTCCCTTATGAATGATGCAGCTTATTTCACAGCAACTTTGAAATTGGTCAGTTGGTAATGAGAAGCTTAGAAAAAAAGAATTTTAAAACTGTGAAGGTCATTGAGGATACTCCTTGGGCTCTTCCTCTTTTGTGTGTCTTTCTCTAATCTGTTTAATTGGGAGGTCTGTCTTCATTATTGCTCTCCTGTGCCCTAAAAAGCTTAAGGTGCAACATAAGGCTGAAAGTGGTTGTCAATAATATGCTCTCAGTAGCTGCTCTAATTCTCTTAACAAATTTTTTTTTTTCTTCCTCTTCCCCCCACCCCTGCAGTGCTCTTCCAGCTCTTTTGGATTCAGATGAGGTCAGTAAACAAATCTTCAGTTCAAATTAATCTTCTGACATGCCAAAGGAGTCGTGAATCAGCTGTTGAGGACTTGGCTTATTAGAACCGGACTCTCTGATGATGCCAGTGCAGCAGTAAAATACTACAAGGAGGGCAAGGATAGCGGGGATAACCATGATACCACTTCTTAGAATATCAAATATGTATTCTAAATGTGTATTCTATGATAAGTGGTATATCTGCTGTCTAAGTTGGACTCCTCACTTAAAATGCATATGAGTGTGCATTTGTTGGGAATGTGCAAAGCATACCACCTTATTTCTGAATAATGTGATCCTATTGGGGGAAATGACAACATTGGGTATCTTCTTTCTTCTAGGAAAGAATGATTACACACTTTGAAAGGTCCAAAATGGAATGAAGGAATAGCTTTTTGCTATTGGAAGTGGAGACGCCTCTTTTAAAGTTGCTTGGTGGAACAAGTGCATCCTGCTGATTTGTTTCTTGATCCCAGACTTGGAAGTTTGATGCTTTATTGTCATGAAGGCGTCCTGCTTGGAAGAAGTTCACAAGGACAGTATAAACCTTTTGGAAATTTGGATTTACAAAGTTGCTGCAAGTTTGGATTTTTAAGCAATTTAAATGTGTACTATTCCTGCACCTTCTGTAACTTTTCAAATATTTAATCTGTGAAACTAAAATTCCTAATGTCTGCTTGAGGAGTTTATATTTCAACGTTACAATTGACACTTAGAGGTGAACTGCCTGTACCTTTTTGGGGGGAGGGTGGGGACAGATAGAAATAAGCACTGAAGAAACACCAGACCCATTGTCTGATAGATAATGGCTTACTGCTGTTGTATGTCATGTGTCCATGAATGAAAGGTTTTTAGAGAGAAGCTCCTGTTAATGAAGAAAATTAAGATGCCAGAAAGGAAATATTTGGAAAAGTTACAGTGATATGAGTTTTTAACAAAATCAAGTGCAATTTTATTCATAACACTGTGTAAGAAAGATTTTCTATTTTAAATGCCATTGACCTGTACGTAACAGCTGCATAGAGCTAACAGTTGCTGTTGTGGCACATCTCATTGCCGGCAATGTGGTGGATGCCTGGAAATATTATTTGCCCCTACCTTCCATGTGTTGCATGATTCAATTTAAAAAAAAAAAAGAAACAAACAAACCCCCCAAAACCAAACATCACCAAACCCACTCCTGCAGTGCTCCACAAGTGCTTGACTACTCATGTTAAGCAGATATTAACTAGATGTTTCAGCGGAACTCTTCTTGCACATGTAACATCTCCCACCAAGAAGTCAGTAGTCTTCTAGAAGAAGATGGCATTGCTTTCTAGAGGGTGCAAGTACTGCTTACCTTACTTGAAAGAGGCTTTAATGGGAGCCCCCAGTGCTGGGATAGTTCTGTTCCCAGTGTCTGTTTAGAATCGCCTCCTGTGTTAGTGATTTGATGATAGGCTTTCCGGTCCCAATTGGTCCCTGTGACCAAGAAGAACTCTGAGATCACTGTGTTTCAGTCAAAGTTGCAGATTTCTATTCTGTATAATTGCTTTGTGTTTCTCCTTTTCAAATGAAGAAGAGCTTTTGGACAGTGTTCTGTTTTTATTTTATGCTTGGCTGTAGAGGCTTCACTTGCAATAGCTTACACATGGAAACCCATTGTGGACTGTATGACAAAAGCTCTAATTTGGGTTTATAACCTTTACAACTGATAATTACCAGGCAAGCAGCAGCACAGCTGGACTTCTAGGGAGCAGATGTGGCTGCTGCTGGAATGGCATAGGCAGTCAGCTTTTCTGGTTCTTCACTCGTAGCTATGTCAGCAGAAGTGAACGTGTGCCTGTACTTCATTCATTCCACTGTAGGGTCTGGTGGCTTAGCTCTAGTTCGTCTAGATCGGTGATTTATGCTGAAATGTGGCACTTTACAGTAGAGTAGCTGAGGCACAAGTGCATAGTATCTTCTGCTAGCTGTGCTGTGGGGGCAGCAAACCCTCAGCAGATGGGCAGAGATAAAAAAGCTGTGACTGTAACACCTCAGTCTGCCTCTGCAAGAGTTGCTGGAGCTCTTCTGCCATCCCCTTTAGGCCACAGGTAGAATCTACATTTCTAATTTGCTATGCTTAATTGATAGAGATGAAAAAAACGTTACCTCCATGTCCTGTTGGGAAGAGGAAATTTTGCGAAATAAAGCTACACAAAACTTGCTATTTAACCTTTTTTTAAAAATTTTTTTAAGTCCTATTGTTTTGGGTTGTTTGGGGTTTTTTGAGGCAAACAGGGAAATATGTTCTTTACTGGAAGCACAAAACAAGTTTGTATGTACTATTTAATAAAAGCTAGGCAAAGAGTAGAAAGGCTTACATTGTGTCCTTCCACTTTCTTACTACCTGTTCTGTCATGCGAGAAAGCATTAACATCTTCACAAAGCTCCCTCGCTTTCCTTCAACTCTTTATTGCATGGTATTTATAATGCAGTTATTCCCAATAGCTTTTTTTTTCTTTTTTCTTGTTAAGCTTGACAATAGAGTGGAAGTCTGTCATTTGAAAAGCTAATATACATGGGGCAAATCATAAATTTCTGAACAAAAGTAAAAGATGGAAACAGTTCCCCTAATTGCATTCATAGTTTAATAATTTAAAATAAATGTAGTAGCAGTGTGGTGCTTTCAACCTTCCAGCTACAGTGGTCTTGGGCAGTCCTTTCTGCCTTCTACCCTTCCATCTCTATAGTAACTTCCATCAGTATTTGAAGTTATCCTGAGTGTCGCAGGAGGCTTAGTTAGCTGTTCTTAGTTTTCCGCTCGTTTGGCAGAATTTCTGTATGCTTGGAAGGTAGCATCTGCTTCCTAGCATGCAGCAGGCGTGCGCTGTGACTTTCTTGTTTGCAGTCTTACAGAGAACTTGTATCGGAGCCCGGCTCCCACAATATCATGCAGGCTATGGCGCTCACACACAACTACTGCTGCAATTATGATTGTGGAATTTGGGACTGAAAGCGGTAGAGAAGATGTGGGTGAGGAGTGAAGGGTATGCGTGCAAGGGAATTGCAGCAATGTGGCTTCTCCCTTGACAGCATGTTTGGTCAGAGATGTTGGTTCTACTAAGGAGATCTTTGCCTCTCCTGATGCCTGGTTTTGCTCCTAAAGGCATGTGGTCTCCACGACTTGTCAGGAAAGCTTTGTCAGCAAGCTAGCTTGCTAGAATGCATGAAACCAGAAATCCTGCAGGATTGTTACCTTTAATTATATAGACTGGGAAGACTTAATTCAAATTTATACCCATTCTTTCAAAATGGGTATTGTAATTTTAAAACAAACCATACAGACTACTCTGACGACTTGGTGAGCAGGAGGGAGAAAACACATCTGCTTCTTAGGGCTGAGATCTGCAGAAGTTTTTAGTGACTAGAATGGTGTGTAGAAGCTGCATTTTCTTTAGGAAATTTGGCTGCTCTCTTCAAATAGCTTCAACAAGCTGTTCCTAATTGAGATAATGCTCTAGTTGCAGAAAAAATAAGCATCTGTCAGGAATTCAAATACAGAGGGAGTTTATTTTTAGAGTTCCTTGTGCCTGATTAGTTCTCTGCGTGTGGATTTCTGTTGTTTACTTGTGAGAAGTAGATGTGGTATTAGTGATGCAATTGTTGTTGCATGTGCATGCCATGCAGAAAACTGAAAACAAAGTAATAGTGAAGAAGATGATGTTGTAGGCCAGCTTTTCATTAGCATCACAAGATGTTCCTGCTAGGAGTTTTGAAGGAGGGACTGAGTAGTAAGAGATCACATGGCATGGTAAAGAGAGGCAACAGGCTTGATAGGCAGAGTGAGTCAGGATCATAAGACCTGGGGTAGGGAAGGGTGTGTTTGTCTTATTCTGCAGATGTAGGGGTGCGTGAGTTTGTGGCTTTTTTTATCCTCCTATTCACTTTATATCACATTTTATATTGTATGCTAAAGGAAAAGTATGCTACTTTTTAAAACCTGAAGAGGCCAATGCCTCGCATATAATGTGCACTCTGGTAAAAATGGATTACAGCAATTTACATGTGAAGTCATTATTACCTGATGTTATTGAAACTTAATTTCCTTGCACTTAAGTGCTATGTCCCTCTTCCTTTTGTAGGAATCCTGGGTCAAGGAGGCCAGATACATGCCTGAGCCGTAACTCCTTTGGCAAGTTGCAGTTCTGGTATCTGTGAAGGGGATGTGACTTAGCATGGTTCTGTGCTTTAGCAGGTTTTATTCCTGAGAAGGAAAGAAGTTGGATGCAAGGGTACCATGCTTGTTCTCCTGTTCCTGTGCTTCGACCTCCCACCACAGAACGTGCTCAGTCCCTGTTTTTTAAAATGGTGGTCTCTGTTGGTGAAGATCCTCAGAGAACTTGGCACCATGTGCTTTTTTAGTTTGGTTTAGTTCGTTTAGCTTCTAGGTGAGCAGTGGTGAATGCTGCACCTCTCCATGGCCAAAATAAATGCAACCGTGGCCTATTCTGGAAGGGACAAGGTAATAAGTAAAGATTTCATTCTGGAGATTGAACTTCACAGGCCAAGTTCATAGGGTAAGTTCATTAAAGTAAAATTTAGGACCTCCAAAAATAGACATTTACTTGCGAGATACGTTTTGCTGTTCTCATCTTGTTTCCTTAGGTTACACAGGTCACTTTTTGTCTTTGTTTGCAGGGTGACTTTCCTACCTGCTATGGTTTATGTTACCAAATGATACTAATGTTGTGGGAAAACAAAGTGAGTGCCTTACAGTCTATCCCCGTTTCGGGCTGTATGGAGATGCACAAGGGTTATGGCAGGCGAGCGAGTCCCCTCAGGGAGGGGCGCCGTGGGTTCTGGCCATGCGGGCCTGCGTTTCCCGTTAGAGCACCGAGCCCCCAAGAGCTGGGGCGGGCTGCTTGATGTCGGCGGGGAGAGCACTTATTTTGCGGGCTGCCGGCGTGGGGACTGCGCTGAGGTGCGGGTGCTCTGTGCCTTGCAGCGCCGCCCCGGGCGGTGACAGGGTCCTCACGGGGACGGGGGCTGGCACGGCACGGCCCGCCTTTGAGGCGCTGAAGGGAGGAGA